ATATAAACTTGAAATTAAGTCTTAAAAAGTCTAAATAATATTTTTTAAAATTATATAAGATAAGAAATTCTATTTTATTTTTATTTGGTATCAAAAATAATAATAAAAGTGTTGTAAAAATGTTTGAAAATGTTTTAAAATATAATGAAAGTGTTATAAAAATATTTAAAAATGTTTAAAAATGCCTTAAATACCAATCAAACTCTTATAATAATTAAGAATATTTTTTAAACTGCTTTAGATTGATACAAATATATTTTTAATACTCAATATAAGAATATTACATGTAAATATAGTTAAACAATCATTAAGACAAGTATTACACTTAGAAATTAAATTGTGAAAAGTTTTTTAAAATATATATAATATCCTATTACCCAATTTCCTATTTATGTATTATTTTTCAGGAACTGATCCATCAAACTTGTCTTTGGAAAAACAAAAGGTAATGACGAATGGTAACTTAAAACCCATCCATCATGATTTTAGAGACTTTTCCTGGCTGACATTTAAAATGTTTCTAATTTTGTTACAAATATCACAAATATCTTGGGTTTCAATATATTTAAAAATTGTTTCTAAGATTTTATTAGAAACAAAAGCATAAGAGATTTTCAAAAAATAGAGTAAATTGAAGATCAAGGCTTTTAGAAATATTTTTAAATGTTGTAAACCCCGTTTTCTGTACATAAGCAACATTTCTTACCAACTTTATGATTAGAAAAGTAACATAGAATGTCTTAAAATATTTTTAAATATTTTCTTTAACAATTAAATCTTTGTAATATCATTAAACCCTCATATTTTTCTCTCTGCATGTCCCTGCTCTCTTGGCTTATTAGGTGTAAGTCTATGTGTGTGCTTGTGTGCATCTGTCTTCATGAATTTCCCAATGGCAGCAGAGCATCGCTTTTCGGGGGGGCATTTCTTTTCGGCCATATTCCCTCATTTTTTTTGCCACTTTCCCGCACGCGTGTGTGTGTGTGTGTGTGTGTGTACGTGCCATTTTGGGTTTCGTTACGTTTTTGCGTGTGCTAAATGTTAACTGCTGATTGCATATTGTCTGCTTAGGCGGAGGCGGGAGTGGGAGTGGGAGTGGCAGGAGCTTGTCGTCGATGATTTCGGCACTTGTAAGAGACTGAGTCAGGGTGGAATTCAGTCCGAAACAAAAAAAAAAACAAATGGAAATGAAATAATGTAATACATAAATTCATTTTGCATTTCATTATTTATATTTTTTTCCTTGTGGTGCTATTTGTGTGCTCGTGTGTGTGGGTAAAGCGGCTTAATTTAAAATGATTTAAATACATTAAATGGCTACCGCAGAACAGAATGTGGCAAGTGTGGCAAAGGGCGATAAAGCGGCCACATCAATGGCCAATCCAACAGAATCCGCTTAGGAGCGCGAATTAAAACCAATATTCTATAACAACATGAAAATCGTCAAATTCTATAAATGAAATTAATCGCAAAATAGATTGGCAGAGAGCTGAATGGCGGGGGGAAAAACAAAAGGAAAACTCGTTTCGGATTTGTGTGTGTGTGTTTGTACAGAAATGAAAGAAAAACATTCACAACGGAATTGAAATCAATCTGCAGCATATGAAATAAATTAAGAGTAAAAACCAAATACAATTCCCAGTGAATGGTATTTATTTTTATAAGCACATATATGTTAATCCCTTGGTTTTTGGGTGTGCAGCATAATTTCACAGCTTAGATAAACAGCCGGGAGAGCTCAAGAAATAGATACAGATACAGCTACAGATCCCTGAGAGCGCTTTCAGCTCCAAAACAGTATGTAAATTCATAAATAATACATATGCAGATGCCTCTTTCCATCTTTTGTTTGTTTTTGCGGCAGCAACAATTGGAATCCAGCAGCTGCTCAAATGAGAGGGCACAAGTGTTTGACTGTTCGACTGACTGACTGACTGGCGAACCGAATTACGCATCACAACCATAACATAACACAGAGCTCCTCGCCCCCTCCTCGCCCCTTACTTTCCCTGGCCATTACAGTCACTTCCCCTCCATAACAATTACAATAAAACAATAAGCATCAGCAGCAGCAGCAGCAGCAAAACGCAGCCGCCGCATCGGAAGCTGGCGGAAGTCAACGGAAATAAACAAAACATCCGCAAGTTCTAATTACAAAAGGCACCAAACATTTACAGATACAGATATAGATACAGAAAGGAAAATATATATAGAGAGAGAGGGAATGGAAGTGTGGCTGGAGAAAGTTGCCACTTACCCCAACTTACCTGCCAAGTCCCGCCAAAAAACTTTTATTAAATGCTGCAATTTAAAGTTTTTAAACCCGAATCAAATTTAAGCAAAGAAATAAAACGCTCAAGTGAGCTGAGCAAAATGTTTTTTGAATTGTTTGGGAAATACTCTAACTGGGAAAGAATTAAAATTAAGTTAGAGATAAGACCTTCTATAGGGAGTGCAGAATATTATTTAAGCTAGATAAGTACTAAAAGGTTTCTAGATTTGTTAATTTAGTAAAATTGCAATGATTAAAAAGCCTTTTAAAAGCAACTCTTGGCCTTAAAATATTTTTTAAAAATTAAATAAAACCTTTTCTTGGCAGTTAAAATATATAATAAACTCTAGAAAAGCTTTATAATATTTCTAAAAATTAAAAAGTATTTATTCTTTATGTTTAAAACATATAATAGTCTCTAGAATCTAAGTTCAAGCACTCAAAAAATATATAATAAACTCTAGAAAAGCCTTCAAATATTTTTAAAAAATTTAAAAATACTTCTTCTCAGAGTTTAATCTCTAGAAATCCTACTTCAAGTTCATTAGGCATCTTAAATTAATATCTTTTCAAATAATTACTTTAATTTTAAACACAATAAATGAAAACTTAACCCACAATCTCTTACAAAATATTCCCCTTTGAAGCCAAAACTTTCAGGGCCAAAGAGTTGCAGTTCCTTCTTGGTTCTCCTAAAGAGTATCTGGAAAGGCTCTTCAACTCAAACCCAACAAAAAAAAAGAAACCGTCAACATCGTCGTGTCGTCGACGGCAATACAAAATACAAAATACGAAAAGTTATGCAAAAATGTGTACTCGAGTTCAATTAAAAGTTTTTAAGTTGTGCAAATGAAACGAGTGCATTGCGTCTTCAATTCTGGCCAAGAACTTGAAACAGAACTCGAATTGGATCTGGGGGGAACTTTGGCGTATAATTGCCGTGTGTTTGGCGAAAAAATGGGAATTTTAAAGGCAGCTACAAATATAGCCAACGATAAGATTAGTTTTTCTGAATGCGGTAATAATACTTCAGACTAAAATTTGCCTTAAGATATGTATGTTTATAGTTAAAGTTGAAGGCCGTCAGCCAAAAAATCGAACTGAATTGCTAATTTTAGTTAAACATTTCAATGGGAATTCATTCGTATTTTGATTTGGCAAATCTATTTTTTGGCACATTCCTGGAATAAGTGAGATAAATCAAACAAGTCTAGAGAGTGTGGTGTGTGTGTGTACACTAAACAAATAAACTGGAGGTGTGAAAAGTATCTTTAAATTGGTAGCCACATGAGAAGATGGGGGGGATTGGTACTGGCTTCTGTGAAATGGAGGCGCCTCCGGCAGAGAGTCCTCCTCCTACATCTTATCGCTGGGTGAATTACGACTTTCCGTTTGATGGGCAAACACAGAGAGAGAGAGAGTGAGAAACACAATCTCCTTATGCGTCAGGTTTTTTGATAACAGCAGCAAACCAGAATATGCCTCAGGCATTTCTTAACAATAATAAAACGAAAAAAAAACAGAAACAAAACAAGAAAATAAAGCAAACCAACAAAGCTGTCTGCAATCAGCTGGCGGCGGCTTCGATTCGCTTTTATCAAAAAGATAGAGAGAGCAACCGAAAAAGAACGCCAACAAAAAAATAATAAATAAAATAAAATACAGCAAGTGTGCGAAAAAAATTCGCAAAAACATATATATATATATATATGCTTGGGTTTTTAGTATATATATTATGCATGCCCTCAGATGATGATAACCGACGCTGGCCGACTGCTGGCGAATTTTACTTATTTATGGGCTGGCATCTATTTATTCGGCTCTGCCTCTTGTTAGCTTTTTGCAAACACATATACACCAGTTTATATATATCTGATGCATATAGTATATATAGCTTATCAAGAGTTTATAATTTTTAGCAATTTAAATTTAGCTCACGCTCTCAGGTAAACTTGAAAGTGGGACCTTGAAACGGTTGCTTTTCATTCATTTTTTTTTTTGTTTTAAAGAAATTTTGGAACCCAAGTATATATAGTAAGTAAGTATAAGTTCCCGATTGCGCAAGCCCCTTCAAAGTCGGTTAATACTTTCGATAAAATACCACTGCTGACTAGACTAAGTAGTTGAATCTATGATAAATGCCTAAATGCTAAATAAATAACAAAAAACCCAACTAAGGGGTGACGTCAACCCGCGGGGAAAATTATTATTATTATGGTGGCCAGTAGAGGGGGGAGGCTAAAATATGATTTATGTGATATGAAAACACAATGGAAATTCTAAAAAGTTAATTTAAAAATCAAATAGGGGTCTCCAAGATATATTTTTAGAGAAGTCAGGAGAATTTATAAGGGAAAATTAAGTGGTTCTCCTCGAAGTAAACAAACTACAAAAATAGATACAATAAAGTCTGCTTCAGTTTTCAATTCTGGGAATTTGGGAAAACTTTAAAAAAAATAAATTTAGATCTTTATTAAATTGAGTAATTTAAAAGGAATTAATTTTGAGGCTAAGATATGCCGAGAAATTTCAAGATAAATGGAAGGTAAAATATTTTGTAAATAAACAAAAGTAAAATATACACCAAGAAGTGGCTAAATTTCAGGAAAACTTTCCTAATTTTAAATGGTTTTTAATCTTTAAATATTGTTATATTTTTATAAATTTTCTTTACATTTTTAAATAGATTTTTCTATATATTTTTCAATTTATTTAAAGCTCTACCAACCTGTTGCCATTGATCCTCAATCGATGGCTGCGACGAAAAGTAGCCGGTTGTGCAAATCCTCTCCAGCTCGTTGAAGATATTTCCACTCGGTAGGATATCCATCTCGAAATCCTCTTCCTCTAACCGCAGAAACTCCGGGGACTCCGTTGTGAGGCCGTTGCTTAATGTCTGATAGGACCAAAGATTTATATATATATCTTTTAGCTCAAATTGTTGAAACCGACAACAATTTGAGATGCAATTTTGATTTGGCTTTGCTATATTATTTTTATATATATTTTTGATTTGATTTGGTTTAAATTTTGATTTCAGAGAGACGACATCCCGACGTTGGTAGATGCTGCGATGGGCAGCATTTTAACACTCGCGATATATATGGAATATATATATATATTGGCCTATATATATACGGATTATATATACACCTAATACGTATTGGATCTACACTATGCACACGTTTGGTTATTTGTTGTATTTCTGCGGTTTTTGTTATTTACTTATCATTTATTTACTTTCAGCACTTTCATTTGGATTTAATTTTTTTTTTGAATATTTTATGAACGCATTCCGGGGGGGCTCTGTGGCTTTCTGTGTGTGTTGGTTTCTGCCTGCAAATAAATAAATAAGAAGAAAAAAAAGTGCAAATGTTATTAAATTTATGATAGTTGTTGTGTCTTAAAACCCCAATTCTGTTCCACTTTCGTAATCTGCCTTTTCCCCATGATTTTCGCCGACTCATCGCAGCTCAAGAATTATTAATTATTATTTTTTTCTCTCCTTTTATTTTGGAACTATGCTAAATTCATTTTCCCAGCTATCTTACCGCTCACTTCTTCTCTGGGTACATTTTCATATCGGTCTCGGATCGTTTTTTTTAGGTTTTTTGGCCGAGCTCAACACTTTTTCACTATCAAAACACAGTTTTGGGTCACTAACCCCGATTTGAAACACACGTTTGTATGTCCAAAATATATATGTATGTATGTATGTATATTATGGCCATGCTCGGCTCGAATTTTATTATTATGATAGTCAACAGGGGCTCGGTCTTGGGTTTCGGCCACAACTCAGCCTTAGCCTGTGCCTGTGCCTGTGCCAGTGTTTTTCTTTAATTTCTAAGCGTTGTCAGTCCTCTGCTTCCCTCCCTGTTCCTGCACACAAATACACCTAAATATATATATATGTATATATGGCCTTATAGTCATGTAAACCCGGTCTGTTGTCGATTTTTACTACCTGTTTCTTGTTGTTGTTGCTGCCTGAGCCGAGCTCTTTCACAACGTTTTCGTGTTAACTGAAAAAGAACCACCAAAGCCGAACCCGAATTCGTTGACCGTCCATGTGCGCTTTTGACTTCATTTTTTTCCCTGCCTTCGTCGTCGTGTTTTTTTTTTTCGTTTTTTGATGTTTTGTTGTTTTTGGTACAGTTTTTGTTTTTGTTGCTGCATGCGGCAGCGGTTTCCCTCTCTTTTTTCCCCGGCCAAATTAGAACTTTGCAATGCAGTTTTGTTGGCGCAAAGCAACTTTCATTATTCGGTGGCCAGTGAAAGAATTATGTGGGGACAGGAAAAGCAGACTAAATCCATCTCTTTTCTAATTTAACACTAAAAGAAAAGGCTTTAGGTTCCTGATTCTGCTTAAATTGTAAAAAAGTTGGACTTGTCCTGGTTTTTAATTTAATTTTTCATAGCACCCATTAGTTCTGTCGCAAGGAGTCTAAGTTAAAGAGTTCAATACACTTCATCGAATGTGAAATAACGAAAATATCGAAATATATCGAATTTAAAGTCAGAATATCGATAATATTAAAAACTTTAAGAAAAACTTTTTTGTAAGAAATACAAAACAAACAAGCTTAAGGAAAGGAAGGAAGGAAATTTTTAAAATATATTAAGCAGGATATTGATTTATCGCCATTAAATATATCGCAAAATATCGATTTATATATCAAACATTGTTCTATAACTAATATTTTCATATTTTCTTTATTTCCTAGCTTAGAAATGTATTTATTTACGACTCAAAGCACTTTAATCCCAATTTGCAAACAGAAATGGAATGATTGTTATTAAAACCAAATTTAAAATATCGAAAAATATCGAATTTAACGTAAAAAAATCGACAATATTTAAAACTTTAAGAAACAAATACAAACAAAACAAGCTTAAATGTGTGTGGGGAAGGAAAATTGTAAACTATATCAAACAGAATATTGATTTATCGCATTTAAATATATTGCAAAATATCGATTTATTTATCAAAAATCGTTTTATTACAAATGTATTAATATTTTCTGTATTTTCTAGCTTAGAAATGTATTTATTTACGACTCAAAGCACTTTAATTCCAATCTCTAAACCGAAATAGTATAATTATTTACCCCAAATTTCCCCCAGTGCACCTCCCTAGCCCTATCCCTAATCACAATCACAGACGATGGTCCACAGTCAATGGCATTTTTATGTTCTTGACTGCTCCTCGCCCCATGTGTCTGTGTGTGTGAGTGCGGCTGCCATATCATTTCTGTTTCTGTCCGCTTTGTTGGCCTGTTCCCTGGTCTTTGACAATAAGCATGGCTTATTGATTTTCCAGCAGCACCAGCATTCGAAGGCATTTTCATCCCGAACCTTTCACACACTTGTCCTGCGCTCTGAACTCTTCCTGTTTTATTGTTAGATATCCCATTCGATGGCCCCCGCACCGAACTGATCCCCTTGGCGGTCGTTTTCATTTTGATTATCGAACATTTTTATCGCCTGACGTTTTTACAAGTTTGTATTATATAAAAAAAAAACAAAGAAAATATACGGAAAATAGCCAAGGATAGACTGAAGCGAAACAAAAAGTTATGTCTGGGGGTACAGTCTTTGGTTTTTTTTTTTTGGCCATTGTCCAAAGGGTTTGGCTAAGCATGAAATGAGCGGATGACGAGGGCAGGTTCCCCTCTCTGCTGAAACCCGATACGATTTTCATATATTGAACTTTGAGTTCATTCTGGCCGGAGTGGCTTTTTCGGTCTAATTAACTCTTAACCCAGTTTGTAGAGGAAAAACCAATAAAGGAGTGTAAACAGCTGCGCGTTAATCTCGGCGGCAAACGAGAAAACCCACATAAGCCAGACTTTTCTTACTCCCCCCTAAAAAAAAAAAGATGCATTTATGATTGCAACATCCACGTAGAGATACTTTACTCAAATACCCTTCAATCAACAACTTAACGCGCCACGAGGGCAGACAACGTTAACTTCCCCCGATTCTTCCTGCTGCCTACGTGCGTTTTAATTTTAATTTTTTTCTTTTCTTTTTTTTTCTCTGGGTTTTTTTCTGTTTTTCTCCCTCATGTTGCTGCTGCTGCTGCTGCGTGGCCACTTCACTGCTCAAGTTGATTTGGCTGCGAGTTTGGACTCGGAATTGGAGTTGGTGGAGATGGAGTTGGAGCCGGGTCTCGAGCATTTTGTTTTTGTTTTGTTTTCCATTTTCGAAACGGAATTTTAAGCGCTAAGAAAGCGCGGGATACCCGCCTCCTTGTGGCTGCCAGTTGTTGTTGCACATCAGAAACAGAAACAGAACCGCATCGCAACGACCTTAACGGGCAGCCAGACTTGGGACTTGGAACCAGCGTTTCCGAGCTCTTGGACTGGGGAGTCACTCAGACGACAGAAGCAGCAACATTGCCAGACACAACAGCAGCAGCAGCAGCAGCAGCAGCAACAATAGACAGCGAAAACGTCATCAGCAGTCCAACGGGGTCTTTGCCTGCATTTGTGAGATTTTGTAGCTGCTTTTCATCTTTCATTTCTTGGGTTTGTGGACAGTATAAACACGGCGAGAAAAGTTGGGGTTAATTAAAAGAAATTATAAAGAAAATTATAGAAAAGTTTATAGATGGCTAAGAGCTTGAAGAAGAAGTTCAGAAGACTTCTAAATTGCAATTTTTGTTTAAAAGTAAAAAGGAAATATAGAAAATACCACTTTAAGCCTTTTACTTTGAATTTTACTTTATAAAATAAACGTAGATATATTAAATTTTATTTAAACCTAAAAAATATCCATAAAACCTCACTTAATCCTTCCCATTTCATATAAAAGTTTATTAAAATATCCCTAAATAGTCTCTGTTTATTGCTCTACAACTTAGTGATATTTTATATAATATACTAAGCTATTTCTAACCCATATTTTTCTCCCTGTGCACCGTGACATGGCAACAGCAACACGAAACAAGCCGAAATGAAATGAATTTCATTCCCCGAACTTGATTTGCCTCTGCTCCTACGCAAAAGAGGGGACAAGCTCTTCTCACATTGTATTATTTCCTGCTGGGCATTATTCCCATCCTCACCAGTCTCTTTCTCCAGTCAGCAGTCACAGTCACCCACATATACAGATATATAGCATAGTATATATAGTAGTATAGCCTAGAAACAAATCAACACTTTGTTCATTTCACACGTGAATTGCTCCAGAGCGAATCCCAAAACGAAATGGAATGAAAGGGGGAGAAAATGTGTGTTCATGGCTTGTCTATTTTTATAACGCATTTTGTTTACATTCCAATTCGAGTGGGAATTTTCCTTAACGGAAAACTCATGCAGCACAGCCTCCTCAATTAGAAAATCCCGCTTCATTTTCTCCTGCTGTTGCGGTTACACGCGGATTGACATTGAAAACATTGAAAGTCTAAAACCAAAGTCGACACACGAGCCTTAACATTTTTTACACAAGGAGAAAAAATATAAGAAAATATTATTTAAATTTAGGAAATGCTGGGAAATGGAATAAAAGATTTTTGAAGATTTTATTTTCGATTTTTCTAAGACATTTTCCATAACATTTTAATTTTTAAACCATTTTAAAGGTATAAATAACTTTTAAAATTCTTAAATTTATTTTTAATTCTTTTATTCTTATTAAAAATTAAATTAAAATATTCTCTATAAAATATTGATATTGTCATTTCAACATGTGTTTCATATTATTTAAGTTCCATTCCAAAAATAGAGCACTTTAGTGATAAAAATTTGTGTCAGCACTCAATTTAAAAATCATTTTTCATTTGTCAAAAGACGCTATATTTTTCTAAGAAAATTAGGCTTGATGATTTGTTGCTGACAAATTAATACAAAAACAAAAATTTCAATATAATCCTTGAGTTTTTCCCTGTGTATCCTGGCCACAGTTTTAAGGGAGCTTGGGTTTTTGGGGACCAAAACATTTTCCTGCGGCTTCTTTGCGGTTGCCAGCAATTAATTTATATTAAAACAAAAATGTTGCTCCGGATTTGTACCTGTTGGCAGAGGGATCTAAACGATAGGCCACCGCAAAGGGGAGGAAAAACCATTTTCCACACAAAATTTGTCCGGCGAAATAACAAGGAATAATCCAAATCAAAGCCGGAAGAACAAAAGAAGCGAGAGATTCCCTTTCATTTGTGTTCGTTCGCATCATTTATTTTTAGTTGGCAAACGGCTTGTGTGTTTATAAACAAAACGTTATTTATGTTCTCTATTTTATTTTCGTACAGTCGAAATAAATATTAATAAAGACC